TCCCTTTCGAGGAATCCGAAATTCTCAGGTTTCCGCGGCCAACTCCGCGAACTAGGTGTACACGATCCGCAAGAACAACTGGTCACCGCTCGCCTGTTGATAACCACCGCTAAAGGAGTCGATGAGCTTTCTCGAAGACTCGGGAGGCCCGTTGTGGGGGAGCTCATGCAGTTGTTGCTTTCTTCGGAGAGAGCACTGGGAGAAGGGGTGAGCTCAGAAACCTCCATGCCTCACCGAAAACTTCGTCAGTTTCGGATTGTTAGGAATTATAAAGTTTCACTCCCTGGAAAAAACTGAGAAATCGATGTGTTGTTTTTATTTTATAATAATTCATCATTCGAGCGGGTCGCTCAATCCAAGGCTGTTGTATGCGTATGACGTGGTCCCATTGAACTCTCTCAACGAACATACCTTTACCATCTATAGGCAGTGTGGGAATATATAATTGCTTTCCTCAACTGAGCTCATCACAACATTATGAAAATCCACGCACAATTTCAGGTAGGAGTGTACAAAAATCAACGATAACCTCCCAAAATTTCCTCATAGTTTTCATATTTTTACCAACACATGTAGTTGACTTGTCTGAAGGTATCGATTTTTGGTATTTCTCCTCACACTTCTGAATGAGGAATAGAGGTGTATTTGGTCATGTCAGGCATCCTCGAATATCGAGTCAACGCCGTCCACGGCTGACGAAGAACTCCTTCCTGTGGGCCTTCTTGAGATTGAATAATGATACTACTACTATCAATACTAGCAGTCATCGTCTTCGTTGCATTTGGAATATCTCATCGCGTCACCCAGTTGACTAAGTATCGTCATTATTACTACTACTCGTATGCATCTCTCGTCACTGTTGTTAACAGCTTCAATCTCGAATTTTTCCGCTCCCGTAGTAGTCATGCCAATTCGAAGTAGTTAAGTAGGAAATAGAGGAAAGTGCTGATGTTATAGTGGTAGCAGTCGTGACTTTCACTTAGTAGTCTTCATCAACACTACTGTTATCGCTATATCTGTCTTCCTCTAATTTAGCAAAGGAGTGGTATGACTTCCTATAGCAGGGCCGTCGTAAGTCCCTGTGGGTCCGCCAGACGAGTGTGGAAGAATAGCTGCTATTTGTACATTCTGCTGGACGTTTGGGTCTGAATTCTTTCTCTGGTTGAAAGACGCTAATTCGACCCACTTGTGACTACTATCCCAATATTGAACAAGTCGACCGTCTTTATCGAACTACTGCTAGTAACACCGTGCATTGTACAATTTCATTAGTGGAATCGCCTCAAACTAACTATCAGTACGAAAAGGAATATTATTCCCACGTTTCCAACTTTTCCTTCGCTTCTTGTGTTACAAGTGGAGTACAAAAAAAAACCAATTACTTTCATTCATGGAATGGATCTCATCTAATCCTAATGACAATGCGCGCGACAAATACATATAAACTTATTACTGATTCCGCGTTGTTCACTAATAAGTTTATATGTAAAATAAATTATGAGTGTCGTATGTATTATATGAAAAATATTCCGGGTCCCCGAATATATTTTCATGTGAATCGATTCTCCGTGAAAATGACGATATTACAGGAAATTCTTCATTAGATCATAATACACTGCATTCAAACTATATCGATTATATATTGCACACTACTCGAAATTGACCACATTAGTGATGTGCGTAAGAGATACGCGACGACTAACAGACTTCGTGTGATCGTCCTCCTTACTACTATAACACAACCTCTAGGGAAATAATAACAAGAAACCCGTACTAATATCACAGAGAACATTGGAAAGAGCCTCAACCTCAAGATACTCAAGGATATGCTCTAAGCAACATAATCTCGACACTTGGAAGACCTGATGTACACCAGAAAACAACGACTTAGCAACAGAGGAGGATGGTATTTTATCCATACTCCTGTGATATCTTCATTAATAGCAATAAAAACGACTTCGCCAACTATACATTGGTGTCATGACAATAATTAAAGGAATCTAATATTTAAACGTTCACAGCAACTTCATCATCTTTTTCTTCCACCTTCACCGCCTCACGTTCTGCCTCGGCCTTCCTTGCAGCATTCTTAGCAGCAACCTTATTAAAGTAAGGTATCATAGACACAGAAGCAATCGCACCAACAATACATAACGCCACGAGAACCATATAATAGTAGTCATAGTGCGCATCGGTGACAGCCTCTTGAGAAGGATTCTCCATATCAAAATTAGGCAGCCAACTTTCGCAGATTTGGAAAAGCGTGGCCGACAGAACATTAGAGATGGAGAAGAAGCACAAATTGAAGGCAGAGACAACGGCCTTGAGTGCACCCGGGGAGTGAGTAAATGCAACTTCGTATGAAGTTGAGATGAGGAAGATCTCACCTGCAGCGATAAGCCAAAATTGAGGAATCTGCCACCAAATAGAGACAGAAAAGACAGGCTTTGACATGACCATGTACTCCACACCAAGGGCCACAAGCAGGGAGGCAGCGCCACACAATGAACCAATGCAAAAACGAACCAACACTGGGGGCATCATATTACGCTTCTTCAGAAAATGGAATAAAACCGTATCAACCAAAACACTGGTTAAAACAACAGCGATAGGATCGACATTCTGCATCATCTGAGCTGGCATCTGCCAACCGAAGAGACTAGTGTCCATTTTCTTACCCTGTGTCAAGAACGCAGTAGTCATATTGTTATAGGCCATAACAAAAGGGATGATGAGGGAAAATAAAGGCACCAGTCGAAACAACGCCTTTGCATCCTCGATGAAACCATCCTTGAAACGACCACCGTTAGACTCCTTGTTCTTTTCCAGAGAGCATCTTGTGACAGAGAAAAAGATGACCTTGAGAATTTCAAGAACAGCCGAACCTTGAGGCTTCGGCTTCACATAACGTCCCATTAGATTGCCAGCCACAAAAACGATAGTAGCAATGATAAAGGCAACCAAAGGGAAGGAAAAACTCGCAGTAAACGAGACCGACTCCACCAAAATCGGAGTA